ACCACCTGTCTATAACTACAGTCAAACCTGCAATAGACATACCACCTGTCTATAACTACAGTCAAACCTGCAATAGACATACCACCTGTCTATAACTACAGTCAAACCTGCAATAGACATACCACCTGTCTATAACTACAGTCAAACCTGCAATAGACATACCACCTGTCTATAACTACAGTCAAACCTGCAATAGACATACCACCTGTCTATAACTACAGTCAAACCTGCAATAGACATACCACCTGTCTATAACTACAGTCAAACCTGCAATAGACATACCACCTGTCTATAACTACAGTCAAACCTGCAATAGACATACCACCTGTCTATAACTACAGTCAAACCTGCAATAGACATACCACCTGTCTATAACTACAGTCAAACCTGCAATAGACATACCACCTGTCTATAACTACAGTCAAACCTGCAATAGACATACCACCTGTCTATAACTACAGTCAAACCTGCAATAGACATACCACCTGTCTATAACTACAGTCAAACCTGCAATAGACATACCACCTGTCTATAACTACAGTCAAACCTGCAATAGACATACCACCTGTCTATAACTACAGTCAAACCTGCAATAGACATACCACCTGTCTATAACTACAGTCAAACCTGCAATAGACATACCACCTGTCTATAACTACAGTCAAACCTGCAATAGACATACCACCTGTCTATAACTACAGTCAAACCTGCAATAGACATACCACCTGTCTATAACTACAGTCAAACCTGCAATAGACATACCACCTGTCTATAACTACAGTCAAACCTGCAATAGACATACCACCTGTCTATAACTACAGTCAAACCTGCAATAGACATACCACCTGTCTATAACTACAGTCAAACCTGCAATAGACATACCACCTGTCTATAACTACAGTCAAACCTGCAATAGACATACCACCTGTCTATAACTACAGTCAAACCTGCAATAGACATACCACCTGTCTATAACTACAGTCAAACCTGCAATAGACATACCACCTGTCTATAACTACAGTCAAACCTGCAATAGACATACCACCTGTCTATAACTACAGTCAAACCTGCAATAGACATACCACCTGTCTATAACTACAGTCAAACCTGCAATAGACATACCACCTGTCTATAACTACAGTCAAACCTGCAATAGACATACCACCTGTCTATAACTACAGTCAAACCTGCAATAGACATACCACCTGTCTATAACTACAGTCAAACCTGCAATAGACATACCACCTGTCTATAACTACAGTCAAACCTGCAATAGACATACCACCTGTCTATAACTACAGTCAAACCTGCAATAGACATACCACCTGTCTATAACTACAGTCAAACCTGCAATAGACATACCACCTGTCTATAACTACAGTCAAACCTGCAATAGACATACCACCTGTCTATAACTACAGTCAAACCTGCAATAGACATACCACCTGTCTATAACTACAGTCAAACCTGCAATAGACATACCACCTGTCTATAACTACAGTCAAACCTGCAATAGACATACCACCTGTCTATAACTACAGTCAAACCTGCAATAGACATACCACCTGTCTATAACTACAGTCAAACCTGCAATAGACATACCACCTGTCTATAACTACAGTCAAACCTGCAATAGACATACCACCTGTCTATAACTACAGTCAAACCTGCAATAGACATACCACCTGTCTATAACTACAGTCAAACCTGCAATAGACATACCACCTGTCTATAACTACAGTCAAACCTGCAATAGACATACCACCTGTCTATAACTACAGTCAAACCTGCAATAGACATACCACCTGTCTATAACTACAGTCAAACCTGCAATAGACATACCACCTGTCTATAACTACAGTCAAACCTGCAATAGACATACCACCTGTCTATAACTACAGTCAAACCTGCAATAGACATACCACCTGTCTATAACTACAGTCAAACCTGCAATAGACATACCACCTGTCTATAACTACAGTCAAACCTGCAATAGACATACCACCTGTCTATAACTACAGTCAAACCTGCAATAGACATACCACCTGTCTATAACTACAGTCAAACCTGCAATAGACATACCACCTGTCTATAACTACAGTCAAACCTGCAATAGACATACCACCTGTCTATAACTACAGTCAAACCTGCAATAGACATACCACCTGTCTATAACTACAGTCAAACCTGCAATAGACATACCACCTGTCTATAACTACAGTCAAACCTGCAATAGACATACCACCTGTCTATAACTACAGTCAAACCTGCAATAGACATACCACCTGTCTATAACTACAGTCAAACCTGCAATAGACATACCACCTGTCTATAACTACAGTCAAACCTGCAATAGACATACCACCTGTCTATAACTACAGTCAAACCTGCAATAGACATACCACCTGTCTATAACTACAGTCAAACCTGCAATAGACATACCACCTGTCTATAACTACAGTCAAACCTGCAATAGACATACCACCTGTCTATAACTACAGTCAAACCTGCAATAGACATACCACCTGTCTATAACTACAGTCAAACCTGCAATAGACATACCACCTGTCTATAACTACAGTCAAACCTGCAATAGACATACCACCTGTCTATAACTACAGTCAAACCTGCAATAGACATACCACCTGTCTATAACTACAGTCAAACCTGCAATAGACATACCACCTGTCTATAACTACAGTCAAACCTGCAATAGACATACCACCTGTCTATAACTACAGTCAAACCTGCAATAGACATACCACCTGTCTATAACTACAGTCAAACCTGCAATAGACATACCACCTGTCTATAACTACAGTCAAACCTGCAATAGACATACCACCTGTCTATAACTACAGTCAAACCTGCAATAGACATACCACCTGTCTATAACTACAGTCAAACCTGCAATAGACATACCACCTGTCTATAACTACAGTCAAACCTGCAATAGACATACCACCTGTCTATAACTACAGTCAAACCTGCAATAGACATACCACCTGTCTATAACTACAGTCAAACCTGCAATAGACATACCACCTGTCTATAACTACAGTCAAACCTGCAATAGACATACCACCTGTCTATAACTACAGTCAAACCTGCAATAGACATACCACCTGTCTATAACTACAGTCAAACCTGCAATAGACATACCACCTGTCTATAACTACAGTCAAACCTGCAATAGACATACCACCTGTCTATAACTACAGTCAAACCTGCAATAGACATACCACCTGTCTATAACTACAGTCAAACCTGCAATAGACATACCACCTGTCTATAACTACAGTCAAACCTGCAATAGACATACCACCTGTCTATAACTACAGTCAAACCTGCAATAGACATACCACCTGTCTATAACTACAGTCAAACCTGCAATAGACATACCACCTGTCTATAACTACAGTCAAACCTGCAATAGACATACCACCTGTCTATAACTACAGTCAAACCTGCAATAGACATACCACCTGTCTATAACTACAGTCAAACCTGCAATAGACATACCACCTGTCTATAACTACAGTCAAACCTGCAATAGACATACCACCTGTCTATAACTACAGTCAAACCTGCAATAGACATACCACCTGTCTATAACTACAGTCAAACCTGCAATAGACATACCACCTGTCTATAACTACAGTCAAACCTGCAATAGACATACCACCTGTCTATAACTACAGTCAAACCTGCAATAGACATACCACCTGTCTATAACTACAGTCAAACCTGCAATAGACATACCACCTGTCTATAACTACAGTCAGACCTGCAATAGACATACCGCCTGTCTATAACTACAGTCACACCTGCAATAGACATACCACCTGTCCACCAGTTATGATTTCCTCTGTTACCGAGATGTACACCTACCTAAGGATCCTGAAACAGTATAGGGAATATTTGCCATTGATTATAGCCAACGGTAAAAATAAAGACCACAGTGACTTAGTTGTGGTACTGTTCATTCTGTCTTCTCAGGATATACTGGCATACCAAATTTGGTTACCACAGGAGAAAGGGTATAGTATTCCAGCATACTGGATACATCATCCTGGTCTAGCTGGAAGATTTACCCAGATAAATGTTTTCAAACATTTATGTCCAAGGTCAAGCATAAGTCATAGTGACCTACTTCTTTTGCAATTTGCCACCCATAGATGTACCTACAGACTATATCTGGTTACTCCAGGTGAAATAGTTTAGAGGAAGAACTTTTTGTCAAACTTTTTTGATGGAGAGCGTGCAAACTATTTAACTGGAGAGGGACTCATTCTCATGTCTTCTGTCTTCAAAGTACTTTTAGAATAATTTTATTGAAGGAATATTTAGAATAGATACATTTGTCTCGGCTCATGATCATTTCTTCTTACTAGTTGAAGCCTAAGGTGCAGATGTTCTAGATGGTTCGAAAAGAAATATAGGTGGCCATGTGTGTTTCTATGTTCTTATAAGACATGATTGTGTTGATTGAGGAATTATAAGGGGTTTTTGCGATCATATCGTCCAGGGAAGGCCTACCTTAGTTCATTTAGTTGTATTTTGGAACCATGAAATCATGCTAGACATTTATAAGATGTCCCACAAGTCAGGAGTCCAGTTTTACTGTAAATGACAGAGTATGTGTGTTTAAACTCTAAAAACAGATTCAACTGCTCTAGAAAATTTAATCATTGCATGAAACTGCTCAATTTCATAATGCCACTGGCACTAATATAATAACACTATCCTAGTTATTACTTTACTGATATCTAAGATACAACAGGTTTAAGTGGCTGGTGAGTTCCTGCTGAACTGTGCAGTCTCAGTTACTGAATGCCAGAGTGATTTAGGTGCCCACCATTGTACCGCGTTCAGATGTTCTACGATTGATCTTCTCTCTTCTATCAACCTATCTGTTGATTTGAGTTGTGTACATGACTGTGGTAGAACATCCTGCTACCATCCAGAACTCATAGCTTTGAAAAATGAAAATTTTCAAATAATGCATCAAATCTTTATTTTCAGTCATTGAAATGTCAATTGTAATTAGAACAGTATTATTTTCTTCAAGTTTATACAAAAAAAGCATGCAAGTTTGTCCAGTCCTATATTTTCAGTTTCAATATTTAACAGGTATGAAGAATAACTTCACTAGAACTAGTTTTTGGTGTTATATTGACCTCTCTGATGTTTTGTATTGATGAAGACATATACTGTACGATACTAAACCCCGATTGTTTTTGTGAATTTCTTGTAAGTAACCAAGTGATGGACCAATGTCACAAAAACTTGGTTAAACACTGTGTTCCGATCTTAATCGAAAAGTTAAAAAGTTTCAAACATTGAAACATTGACAATTTCACATCATCTACATCGCAGATTGCCAATATTACTATTTAAAAGAAAATGAAACCTCAAAGGAAGTGACAAAAAAATGCATTTGATATAATCTTCCTGAGATCAATGCATTTCTACTACATCATTTTAATAACGGCAATGACAATGTTGACTTTTTATTCTGAACTGAACTAACATTGCTTCTTCGTCAGTATAAAAAAGATATGTGATGCACAAATGAGGACGATCGAACACCAGAAAAGACATCTGTTTCAGTGTGTCCTCTTTAGGGTTCTGTTTCAGTGTGTCCTCGTTAGGGTTCTGTTTCAGAGTGTCCTCTTTAGGGTTCTGTTTCAGTGTGTCCTCGTTAGGGTTCTGTTTCAGAGTGTCCTCATTAGGGTTCTGTTTCAGAGTGTCCTCGTTAGGATTCTGTTTCAGAGTGTCCTCGTTAGGGTTCTGTTTCGGAGTGTCCTCGTTAGGGTTCTGATCGCACAACTATGATTTATCTGGTTCTTCATCCTTCTTGACTTGATCTACGTACGTACATTTTATATATACATGTACAAAAAAACTTGTGACAGCTTCTCATCAGTAAATACAATCAAACACTTATCATTACTTCTCACAAACAAGATTTTTTTTTTCAGTTTCCTTTTTCTAGTAAAGAACATTTATTTTTCCACACTCTTGGTGAGAAAATGTCAACGTCCAGCTTTTTTTCCTCATACGGATTGGTCAAATCTGTATACCTTAATGTTCATTCTGACACTCAACCGTAACCATCTGCCTCATTCCAACCTTGCCCATTTCATTAAGATTGTTTGGACAATCACATCAATCTGATTATCTAGCCGTTTTGAGATTCGCCAACATTTTCTGTCTGTCATTGGTCCCTAGTCCTTCTCTACTTAATTTTAAATGACAAAGCTGGCCAATCAGGACATCTGTGAAGCAATGTAAACCTGTGATTGGTCAGTTCCTGTGTCATAACTGCATGTCATCATCCAGGTCGTCAAACAGTTCGGTATCCATGGTAACTGATTCTTCACTGTAAAATAAAAAGATAAATTTCAAGCAAATAATGAAAGAATAACATAATTTCTCAGTATAGAAACATAAAACAAGATCGAAGCACCCTCCCAATTTCCCTCACTGCTAAAATATGGACTCGATTTATACAGACTTACAGGGAGTTATCATCATTACCCTTTTTTTGACACTCAGCCCTCCTAAGATACCAACATACCAACTTTGATGATCACAGTTGAAATAACGTGGGAGATATGCTAGGTAAAAGGTTAGAATGTAGGTCATTGAGACTTGACTTTTTATTCCAAACTTGATGATCCCGGGTAAAATAATGTGGGAGATATACTCCAAACAATGCCTCGGAATGACGGACGATTTTACCTTATCCCTGCCTGTGTTTCAGTTAAGGATATTTCCACAGAGTATTGGTACCCTCAGGTGCATTGCTGCTTCATTCTAAATCAATGTTTATGACATCGTTTTTATGACAAAACAAAACAATCTTTATAGTATAATCATGATATGCCGCCTCAGATCCGAAGACAAAGTATTGCTTATCTCAGAAATGGGCCATGAATTGCACATTTCTTTTTTCATGCACATTTGCATATGATGCACTTTCAATGTGCCAAGTTACAAAAAAAATTCCAACAAATAGTTAAGAAGGAGTCACAATTACGAGGTTCCTGTACAGATGGTCGGACAGAGAAACGGACTGACAGGGTGATTCCTATATACACTCCCCCCTGCCACGTTTGTTTATTATAAATAAATAAGCTATATTGTTGATGGGTTGATTCTGCGATGAGAAAGTATAACTGGAATTATCCTGTTGAAACCGCAGTGTGAGTACGATGTTAAAAGGTTTTGTTCAAATTTTTAGCCATGGTAAAAAAAAAAATCTTCATAAAACTTTCTTAGCAATAAAATATTCTTCATTCCAACATCCTCTCAAATGTTGAAGAGTGAAGATTTTATGTAATTAATCTACCTATTTAAAGCCGAGAGATTTTTACAATTTCAATTTAAGGTTTGTGGAAATTGCACTTATTCAACCATGAAATTCTAAATTGGACTATTCCAACCTTTGAAATGAAAGAGTTTATATGTGTTTCAGTTTACATTTTTTTTCAATTATTTTGAGAATTGGGAACATTTTTAAGTGAAGGAGTGTTGTTATTCCAGGTTGTGATCTTAATACAGAGAACAGATATTTTTTGAAGCTGAGATAATATAACCATCCACTGAAAAGAAAATCCCAATGTGTAGTCAGTTTTAAAGATAGCAAAATATCACACCACAGGTGTCAAAACATTGTAAGAACACCAAAAAGTGTTGGAACACGTCGCAAACAAAAAATTTACATGAAAGAGAGAAAAAGAATAAACAGTTTCATCACTCACCTTTGTTTGTATAACGTTTCCTGTACAGAGGGCCTTGTGATGGTCTGATCACATGACCTCATCATATTGGAATTGCCAACACTGTCTTCACCTTTCCAACAAAACTCTGACTTTGGTGCTAAGCCTTTTGCAAAATCTCCTGGAGGCTTCCAGAGGACCACTTCCATACTCCGACGATTACTATGTAAAAATGTTGACAATTATTCCAATTTTTAGGGCTGACAATGCCGCCATACAGTTCCTTAAATCTAACTCATACCCAAGATAACTCCTAGGACATACTATATACAAAAAAACACCAACCAAATCATCTCCTTAGAGCTAACCAGTATCCCGACACACCTCCTTAC